TCGCACCTGTTTGATGGAATAACGCGCGGTTTAAATTTATGGGACTGGATATATCCCAAACGAAGATTCATCGCTACATGTTGGTTTCGGCATTACACGCACTCCTTCCTCCGTATAATTTCGCCACAGAGAATTTCTCCTATTACAAGTTCCACAGTCCTTCATTCTCATGCTGTCTAATCGTTGAATTTCGCCTCGATTGCCCCGCGAATCTCATTCATCATTGCGACATTTTCCTCGGTCTTACTAGCCCGAACAGTCTCAGCACGATTTGATTTCGCGTTTATCAAATTGCAAATTGATTTCAAACCTTGCCACGCACGAACGCAATCGCTGCTGTACCACATTTTGTAACTTTTTTAAATGAAGGGTTATTTATACATACATCATCCCGTATAAAATATTAAAATGCTGCACGTAAAAAACCCGCGATACGTTGAATTTATGTATAATAAAAAAATTCATTGAATAAATTTATCAAATTTACATAACGGGAATAGACATTTAACTGAAGTGAAAATCGTATATTGCCTGGTATAACCGTGTAATTAACAACAAATTAACAAAAACGTGAGACGAGATAAAGGTGACGTTTAAATAATTAGCTGTTCATCAAATAATAAAGTCTGCGCGAGTTGTTTATTTCATCAGCAATTTTGTATTAAAATGCAATCTCGAAGAAAGACTCGATTTCTTTATTGGCAGTGGTAAAAAGGGACGGAATAAGAAGCAGCAATAAAAGACGGTAAATGATGGTTCAAAAATACGAATAGATTACATTTGTTGAAGAAGGGTATTGAAATCGACAAGCGCGCAAAGAATTGGAAGAATATACCACACAGGCAATGAAGAAAGGAAGGAAGGAAGGCGAAAGCCGAACGAGAGGGGGAGAAAGATATGCGAGAGCTGGGCGCGGAAGAGAGTGAGAGAGTGGAAGAGCAAAGAATTCCCGCAGGACACGACCCAGCAAATGAGCCGGAGAATGCAAATCAATCCCACGACGCGGCGCTCGAAATTGTGCACCTACGCTCGAATGCGGCAATCCCTTTTCCAGGGCTTTGCTGCACGTGCTGGTGAAGCGGCGTTACCGCCACCAACACACAGCCTACGAATGCCCCCCCAGGGTACGTCACTGCAACGGTGCAACGGCGCAATGAGACCGACATTGCAGCGGAGCGTGCATTATCGCGTCCGACGTGTCCGACGCGACCTGGAGAACCGCCGCCGCCTCCTGTGCGGATCCTCTTCGGGGAATAACGTTTCCCCGACGCTGCCTGCAACACGACTTCGCTTGCTCGCGGATCCTCGGTGGCGAACCACGGGCTCTTCGCTCCGGCGTACTCTACCGCATTTCTGAAACGACGCAATACATGCCAGACGGCCGGTGGCAATCGCCAGACGGCCCTTTTACGCGCCACCTTAATACACATCGTATTTTCTTGCGTTAGCTTGTCGCTTTTTTTTGCGATAGCTCGCTGCGCGCTGGAAAGTCGCAAAAAAGGGGAACGAGTTCGCTCTGAATGGCCGAACGGATATTTTTAACCAGGACTTAAGAGCTTAGGAGCGAAATTCGCAAAGACTGTCTTATTTCTGGAATCCTGTCTTTTAAATCTCATAACTCTGAACAAGACTTTGACGTCTAAACTTAACTCTTCCTGCTTTATCCATTCTTATGCTGGTTTCATCAGATTTCGCGAAATTTGGCTTTACGATTGTCATAGCAAGTAAAGCTGTATTATTTCAAGAGTGAGTTGAGGGAATCTGTTTTAATCTTATTTCAAATAACGTATACAATACGAATTAAGCAGTTGACCTTAAAAAACACGCTTCTGAAAATTACGAGATATATATTTCTATTTTTCATATTCTCCCATCATTTCTGAGTTTATTTTTAGAATATTATAATTATTTTAATTACGTTTATTTTATTTTCTTAAATTACTAACCCGCCGGTTTCGTCTGTTTGTTTAGAGATACCAGCTATTCTAAGATTGGTCTCATAGCGCCGTTGTTATTTCGTACGCGGTCTCTTCCTTTAGTAGCGAGATAAAATCTTTAATTATAAACCGCTTTTAAACTTTTCTGACGTCCATGCCCATTTTTAATTTCAATTAATTGTACCGAGAATAATTGAATAAATGTTCTGATATTCTCACACATTTCACAAATGCTAAATTCTCTCATTAAAGCCACGTGTCGGATAAGATCGTATTAATAGAATATCTCGTAAACTTTCTAATGACGTCCGTTTGATGAATATGGACGGATCGAATGCGAGTCTGGACAGAGAGAGAGAGAGAGAGAGAAAGCATATGCGGTTACTTTTGCAAACGCGTCACTCGTAAGAACATGGCGATGACGGGGTCGAAGAAGCGATTCCCTTTGTCATAACCGACGAACTAACCGCTCAAAAGGTTTATCGGAGCATGACCGAGAAACTCCATTGAAATGTAATTTAACGAGATGGAACGGTGGGGGGAGGGCTATCTAAAAGGGCGATTATAGCGAAAACGACAAATGCGCGGTCGTGGAGTAAGGTACCCTCTTCCGACCGGATCAATCGTTCCGAACATAATATCAAAGATGAAATTTAATTGTGAATGAACGTAGATATGAATTTGTTAGTCGAGCTCGCGACTAATTTGTCGTTGAAGCAAAAGGGGAACGCGGAAACGGTAGCTTTTTGCCTCCGCCATAGTTAATCGTAATTATCGATAACGACCTCATTTTGCCTTTTGACTTAATAATCCCCGGTGCATTTCCTTGAGTTTAATATATCTGAAGATACGCGTGTAATACGTGTACATATAATATCCTTGCGAAGGACATTATCGGTTACTATGAACGTGCAAACACGGAGGTGCATGTAACGATTACGGAACGTTACATTATAAAAGAGTATTATCTATTACATGCTATTCGATACATGCTATTTAACAAAAATGGCGATGTAGGCAACCGATATTTTCGATTTGCCATCCCGAATACAACAAGGGTAATCCGCGATTAGCGAAATGACGGACTACCGCGACCGTGTGCTCGGATCACGGATATCGATCAATTATTGCAATAGTACTCGCCCTACATTCGAGTCCCGTCACGCAAACAAGTCCCTTCGATCCTTCCCGTCGAACGTAATCACGTTAAAACAACATACGAACGCCGAGCTGCATTTCGCGAGTTCGGGAAAATCGTGTTTATGGTCGATGCCTTTAGGATCCGTCTGTTTCGGACGATCGTAAAAAGCCTCTGATGCGAGCGATTTTTCAAACGGCTCTCTCTCTCGCTCTCCTCCCACCCTCTTCTCTCTTTTTCCTCGCCTATCAATACAGTGTTTTATGACATTTGTGATCCGTCGTTATAATCACCTGTCGGCAAAAACGCTATATCCATGTTCTCTTGAAAGATCATCCCTTTCATGGACACATGATAACGTTGTAAAAATTTATGCGAAATGTTTCAATCCTTGCACTCTCGAGCAATGCGCATTCCCACGTGGCAATTTGAGTACACGTATCGCACAAGATGCAGTCGTGAGATTAATGTTTAATCACATGAAATTAACGTACTCCAAGATGTTAATGCGCTGCTCACCGTGAATGTGAAATACGTAATGTCTATGTAAATTGCTTCTGGAAAGCTATTAAAATTTAATAAAGAGATATCGAGCAGGCCGCAGATGTCCCAAGCCCTAAACGCTCGATGGGGATCTGTTAATCGCACGGCAATAAGCAGCATGTTAGAGACGCGAGGTTCAAGAACAGTGCTTTGTTCGTGCTACTCTTAAGAGCGAGAGAGAACTATTTCAATTAATAGCGCGATCCGACGATAGAAATAATCGAACGAGGGCCAATTAAGGATGCGATCTAAAACCCGGCACGAATGGGGCGCGCGTTCATTTCACTTTTATTCCCAGCTCGTCAGTGTTCGCTCGTTTCCACGACTCATCTCTATTGTGCCGAATGAACCGCAGAACCGATTAGCCCGTGGATACGTAAATTGCGTCCACGATAAAAGCGGCTTGTGAATAGGTGGATGGGGTGCCCTTCAGTAGCAAAGGGTAGGCGCATTGGGGTTGGCCCATGCAGCTACCCATACAATTAGCTCTCGTAGTCTCACCGCCAATCTGGACTGAAGATTCGGAATGATGGAACAAGTGCTGGCGCATGTACATACATCACGTACAAACTGTTTCAAGTGTGTTAGTGGAAACCAAATTATTAAAATGAAATTAAAATTTTATTTGAAAGTAACTTTTGCAATATTTAAGCTTCCCGTAACTGTTTGCCAGACCGAGCCAGACTGGCAAACAGTACTTGGACGTGGCTCCGTTTTCTCGATGTACACTCGATGCTTCAACTTTGAAAAGCAAAAAATATTGACTATTTAAAAGCTCTGTACCTTAAAACGTTTATATTCTCATTTTCCTGAATCTCGTGTCGTGCGAAAAAGCTTATTCAATGTCTAAGTGGATTATTTTTCGTGGAAAACTTTGGAGTTAATGCGCCGAAAGTAACAAATGAATTAATTAAAAATTCTAAGTTAAAATGAAAGTCTGTACGGTGCCATATCGTTTAATTAAATATCGGTTATAAATTGATAATTATTTGCAGAACATTAAATGTTGGAAAAAACCCGGTATTCGATACTCATACAATCTGTTCTAATACACGTTCAATTTTGACATGTTACGAATAAAATAAATTCTCCAAATTGGAACTGTTAAATGCGCTTTTCCTATGAATTTAATTTATATTTGTTCGATCAATGTGTTATATAAATATATTTGTGCGACGTATTCATATGCAATACGCATAGCATATATATTTAGCAGAACAAAGCGCGGTATGCAGCATTTTGATTACATCGGGAATATCGCAACAATAAGGGATATTTGCGAATTGTCTCGAGGCTTAGTGTCTCAGGTGTCTTTACTAGTAACTTAGCGAACAGCTGCGGAATGCATTTAGTAATATGTCTCGCGCAATCTCCTGTTTCAGATATGATCGGGAGAGAGACCGTCTCTATGGTATCACATGGTACAAGGACCACGAGGTATTCTACAAATACGTACTCCGAGATAAAAATCCCCACGTCTATGACGTCAATGGTGTTAAAGTTGACGTGAGTAAGATGCCCTCTCATGTCCCATTGTAATTCACCGTTATTGTTTCTATTGAATCTTCAATATTTTATCAAGCATCCTTTTTTTTTTATAAAGAGCACTTTACTTATAGTATAATTGTTAAATTTTACGTCTTCGCGTTGTCACGTGGAAATCTGCTGCACGTAGAAACAGAACTGACAAATCGGCAGATGACAATTGTGAGTGAAAGCAAACGAGTACGTCATAGCTAGAGAATGTATATAATCCCCGGAATGCGAAATATTTTAACAGCAATGGATTAGTTTAAACCTAGATTTACGTTCGCATCTGTTTCGATAAATCATTCAATAAAACTCGAACTCGGCGCAGGCAAATAAATCGAATTGAAGACCACCATATCGCGGCGATGCGTCATGGACGATGAATTTTGAGACAAATCTCGAAATCTATCGCGAGTACCCGATAAATTTTTCGAAGACGACCTCCTGCAGATATGTCTTAAACGTCGATATATCCGGGATGCCGGGTAACAGGTTGGAGAGCCTCCGGGTCAAACAAAGTGGAGCTTTCGACCTGATCTACGATACCAATTTCATGGAAAAATCTTCGAATCGCTCGAGCATACGTAGTGAGAGAAGAGAACGAAAGATTTGCTCTAACGTTGCAGGTTATAGAAATCGGGAAAACTATCGGTTCTCCCGCAAACGAAACCGCGAGCGATGAGCAAACTTCGTTTCGAAAATATTTGTCTCGTCCCTCGATAAACGGAAACGGTCTTTCTGCGAAGGAGTTTAACGCGCAAGCTTTACGAGCTGCTTTGTCGCCAGCAATAAAAACATTTGTTCGTCAAAGAAAAATATCGTTTGTCGTATAATCCGCAAAGAATCGGAGATTAATTCAACGGCTGGATTTTAACGACGTACAACGCGAAATGATTGCATTCTGTTGCAAGAAGGTTTTTTTTATCAACTCTAACATTGTTAAGGATGGGATAAATTTTATGCCTACTTCTAATATATGTATATATTTTTTTAGAAGGAGAAGAAAAAATTTAGTTTAATTTCCTTCTGAAAGTAAAGTTATAATTATATCCAATCGAGATAATTTATTACAATGTAATGATCTCTTGATGTACCACTTTTTATACACGTTAACATTTTTAATATTTTCTTCTTAGGATAATTAATATTTAAAAAACTCTCTCTCTCTCTCTCTCTCTCTCTTGCAATTGAAATTATGCGCGAGATAATTTGGACATAAACTACCAAAAGTCCCATTGTATGTTTATCAATCCTTTGTCTCGTTTTATATAGAGTTGGCAAAAAATGGATCTGGGTACACTATCAGGACCCGGTGTGGTTCGTATATACCTGTGCGAGGGAATGTGCATCATATATCATAGACCGCCATTGTGCTCAACAACGTACGCGGGAGCGCTCAAGTTTTACGGCTTTCCGCAAAGATTTAGCGGCGCCAATCTACTCTTTATATTACGGAGTAGATGAGGCTGAATTCAGAGATCTTTGCGAAAGGAGATTGCGCTAGGGCGATGCATCCCGTGCTGTCGTGACGCGATGGATATAGGTCGCAATACGTTCATTGAAAACAAACTGAACCGATTTTAATGAACACGCGATATCGGCGATCAGGTAATGTGATTATGTGTCCACGAAACGGGAAAATCGAGTTGTTGCAAAATTCATATCTATCGATTTTTTATTTTCTTACTATGTTCGGCGAGAGCTCAAATAACCGTCGTTCAGTTTCACAATCCGCTTAATCTATTATATATCTTTGTCTTTACCGATAATATAAAATAATATCTTTAAGAAATTCTCATATAATGCAGTTTGACATGCAACATTTTATATAATTTACTCATAAAATCTGGATGTATGGTAATGTATGAAAAAGGATTACTCACAATTCATAAACTTGGGAGATAACAAAGAAATTTTAGCAAGTAGAATACCTTATTCATAAATATGTATGAATTGGATTCTTTGATACTCGCTTAATCTTATTCAATACAGGAAAAGCACACGATGTGGAATTTTTTTTAAAAGTATCATTTATTTGCATTTATAAACGATTCCTTTTAAGCATGAAAGATATTGTTCTAGTATAATTCTCTTGATCTTATGATATTGCAATTTTTCTTTCCATCAAGTTCGCCCATTTTTAGTGTCAACACTTTATATGAAGCAAGATAAAAATAAGACGGATAACTACGTAAACTTGTTCTTCCTTTTCTCTTCTTTCTCTTTCTCTCACTCCCCTTTCCTGTCTTACATTTTAATATCTATAGACGAGATCCTTTTGTGTTGCGCGCAACGGGACAAGCTGTAAAATGCAATTACCTTTACGACTACATACACTCGCTTTGATGTAGGGCGCTTTGTGGTTGACTGCGTCGAGTGTATCTTTTTTAATATTCTAAATATTATAAAATTCTCCAAATTATGAAAACCAGAATTTTCTGCCTTTTGATTTTATGATGCGCGAGATATTATCGAATGAAGTCTGAACGACCCTTCATATAAAAAAAATTTATCAATTTTAGCGTGTGCAATGTGGGATAGAGAAAGAGAGAGAGAGGGGGGGGGAATTTTCATTATTTATTACTTTACGAGATACTTATGATTTATTCAAAAGCAGTAAACATTATCAATAGCACCTTCCATTCTTACAGTTATTTTACTTTTTGGTTTACGTTATTAATTTACAATCGTGTGTCATTCCAATTTAACTAGTATTAAATTTCATGAAGATGTAGAAAAACTTTCAATGAGCATCGTGCGATTATCGGACAGCAGTCTAGTAATTGAAAAATCGTTGGACGACATTTATACCGATAGGAGAGGTCCGACCGTACACCACGTTCGTGCACGTGGCGTATTGAATCGTCGAAGGTAACCGAGTTTACGGTGAATTGCTCGTTCGACTGTGAAGGAATCGTATCGTAGCTCCCTGAGAAAGGACTAAAGTGAAACTTGCACCGCTCACGATACGGGGCGAGAAAGCGTGGACATCGAGGAAAGGGAAGCGTCGAACCGAGCTAGGGACACATGAGCATGTGTGAGATTCGTGTAAAATATTTCAATTTATTCTCGGGTCGCGAGAGGTCCGCGGCGCGTGTTCAACGATACTGCATGTATATGTATGAACAAAGTCGCGCAATAATAAAGCGTCGCATTCAAAGCTATATAATAAAAATAAAGCTCGACTACCCGACGTCGTAGATGGGCTTAGTTATGGAGAGTAGTGTTATACGCGATCGCGTGGTATTATGTCGCGCAATAAAAAGGACCATCGTAATGGGGTAACGCGGAAATGCGCAATGCAAAGAAAACCGAGAAATAACAGGGACTGTTCTGGAAATACGCATGTACTATTTTCTTTTAAATCCCACGGCAGAGAAACTACTAATGACAAAAAAAAAGTATAACGCAAGAGGTACGAAATGCAACAAGATATAACGGGACTCGGTTGACCGTCGCGAGCGTTGCGTATCTCGCGTACATGGAAATGTAATTTAAGATTTAATTGCCGATACGCAAAATGTTCAAGATCGAGCGAGTCAGTTTTCATCTAAGAAATTTTTTCATATTGCAGAATGCTAACGGATAAGTAGTCCACGATTAGTTTTGACTGAGAAATTTTTTATTTGATAAATGAAAATGTAGTATTAAAAATGGAAAATTTGCGCTAAACGAGATGACGTCCTATAAGGCTTTTGTTCAGGGAAAACTTGAAAATTCTCGCGAGATGCAGGAATGAAAAAATATGCAGTTCCGCGATAATTTGTGCAGCACAAAGATGTGGGGCGCGCGACATTGAAACACAGACCCGGGTAAATTTCATTGAGAAATCGGTTGTTACGCTCGATACGGTCGTAAGCCACCGTGTTTGCAGAGCATAGGTTCGACATCGTCGCGACGACGCTACGAAGGATCGTCTCGATTCTCGAGACGGTGCGTCCGCTTCCGATTCACGTTTTCGATGGCACGAAAGTTCCGCTCTCCTTGGTGCTCGTTAATATCGTCCGACGTGTAACGAGCATTACGTGAGGCGAATCGGTTCATCCCCTTTGCCCGCCTGGCCGCCGATCTTTCGAACCTTCTGTATTGGATAGCGGACTATTAATCTGGCTCGGTCCAATAGTTCCCCGATATCAGCGAAGAAAATTCTTCGTGGACAAAAGCGATCGTGTCTACCCGCCGCTGCCGTCGCGCCTGATTCTTGGCGTGTATTAAAGTGTGAGGAATCACGCAAATTTAACAAGATATGACGTCGTTAATCGCAACGCGAACAAAAGGAGCCTGCAAAGTATCCTATCGCGTTATTCCTTATTATAAATATTTCTTTCCATGGTACTCGTTCATAATTTTTATAAATCTTTCTGTAATTTTTTTCTCATACGTTTAATGAATTTCTTTCAATTTATTATTGAATTATGAAATCTACTCTCTAAAACAATCGGTGGATTATCACTGAAAACAGTGAATATTCACTGATTCACAGTTAATAAGTAGTTATAGCACTGAATTATTCAATGCTACACAGAAAAAAAGAATATTGTATTTTTCTTTTAAAAATATGTTTTGTCTCAACGTGAAAATCTTGAAATGAGATTATATTGCGTTAAAGAAACAAAAACTTACTTGAGAATGCAGCAATTTTACATAATTAAATCAAGAAAAATATATGCTTATTATTTAAGAATAATTTTCTTGAATGGAAAGGAAACAATATTGGATAGAAAATAGCATATTTTCAAATCAAAGATTATAATAATTAAAATTATTTTATTGTCAAAATAATTACATGTGTTCTTAAAGTGACAATTATAGTATTTAAAGAAGACTATAATATTGTTGGAATGTAAGATTATTAAATGCTTCTAAGAAGATTATAGATTGTTCGTATATATACAAAACAATGAACGTGTTAACTTGAATATATAAGAGTTGATCTGACACTTTTTTTTCTGTGTGTATTTATAACTGTTTTCAGT